TCTGCGACAATTATTTTCTCCCACCAAGCGAGTCACGTGTGAGGAAACCAGGCAGCTAAAAGCAAACAATTTGGATCCCATTCCCCATCGATTCATATTTTTAGGGCTGCCATGCAAGGATGTGGTCTATAGGGCACCAGTAGTTTGGCTTCCTTGCGCATTTTCACATTTCCACGATGGCAAAATGCCAACAGTAAGAGTAGTACCACCATGCTTTTAACCTTTTTGCCCTGCAAGCGACCGATTTCTTGTAGTTTCGATTAATGGATACTAATGCATTGCTAATACATTAGAGGAACTTTCGGGCCTCAAAATTGCTGGCACGTGCGGGACAAATACCGACAAATTTGTTATGATAAATAAACAAACAGTGACACACATGAAAAAAATATATATTTATTACTAATATCTGACAACAATTTATGCGGCCATTAACAGCGGCAATACAACGTGTTTATTTCAACATTCTGCCAAGCCATAAAAAGTATAAAAAATATGTAGCCGAAGGGAAAAGAGAAGCAAATAAAAGAAAGAAAATAAAATAAATAAATATTAATATCTTGAAAATCAATCAAAATTCAAGGCATGTCCGTTCGAACGGCGCACTCCGGTTGGACGAGTGCAAAATTCGCCCATAACCCATAAACTGTTCATAAATTCAAACACCCACGAAAAGTATTATTCACCCAGAGCGACTGCAAACAAAAGACAGTCAACAATATGACTATTTGAATCGATCGTCTGGCCGGCGAATTTGTGTGGGCCTTCAGTGGGTCAGTTGTGGGCCTCAGAGGAAAGTGATAGTAATAGATCGGTAAATGAAATGTTTAGGCCGCCAATAATACGAACTGACCAACCACCACTTCCTTTTCGATTTTATTATCCCCCGCTAGCCAGCATATTTTATTTTTAATCGTAAATTACATTTCCCATGTTCTACATACAAAATATGCTAATTTATTTCCTCTACTGTTTGATATATTCAACAATTGCAGAGGAAGTTCTTCCAGTCGACACCCCAAACGTTGCTAGCACGTAAATTTACGCCACTAATAAAAATGTTGAAAAAATAAATTAGCGAAATTCCGGAAATTGTAACAAATTAACATTAGCACAAATGTAATTAGTAACGCCGTGTTGGGCGGTGCTTTTTATACACCGTTCATTTTCCGTTGCGGTGGAAATTCTCCAGGTATTGTATATTGTATATTTTATATAGTAATTAGACCAGCATAACTTTATACTTAGTGCATAGTCTCAGTGTCTAGAAGAAGAACTTTTCTGTGGAGAAAATAAACTGAGTGGCATAAAGTAATAAATTTTAAATGCAAGACAGGTGGCATCGAAAAACGTTTCCATGCGTTGTTCAATTTTGATTAAAATTTTATTTTCGGAAACCTTTTCACTTTCTGGTGGGTGTGTGTTTAAACAGCTTTCCTTGATTGTTGAAACAGCGTTGTTTATTTGCTTAACTTGTATACATTTTCGGTGACGAACTAGGAAGACACCGAAACAGCAGCCGTCGAATCAGAAGGTGTTATACAATAACTCATTAATAACATGTAACCATGCAGGCACAGCTGCCTCGATGCTGGATTTCCCGATAAGATAGCGGGGATAGTGGGGGTCCCATGGGGAAAGTCATGCAGAACTTCCGTTTCGAGGGGGCAGGGACTTCAGGAAGGGGCTGCTGGAACATAATTACCCGATTTTGCTAGATACAAGCTCCATTTGAGCTTCCGCTCTGGAGCAAATGCAGCAAATTTACCAATCCCCCATTCCGTTCTCCCGCTCCAAAAATGCATTATTAATTGCTTTGCCTTTGATTTATCTAAGAAGCAGGCTCCAGCCGACCTCAGTACCGGCACCCCTGCACCCATGAACCCCTGAACCCCTAAACCATCCAACCCCACAACCCCCCAACTTATGCAACCCTTGGAGCATTCGCCATAACGCTCCACTCACAATGTTTAATTGTGGAAATGAGAAATATGCGGAAGCGTTGACGATTCCGCTCCAGCGTCTGCTGCACTTGTCGCATCACTTGATGCGCCCAGCCCCATTTTCAGTTTCAGTTCCAGTCTCAGCCCGTGTCCGTGTCCATGCACATGCCCCGTGCCCCTGCCCCTTGCCCCTGCCCCTTCCACTGCCCCTGCTACAGCCCATTCCCACCCCACTCGCAGCCCCATCCTCCTTTCCACCCCTCGTTAGCTGGCATGTCAGCTGCAAAAAATAGTAATCGCTTATAAATTGCATTTTGTATTATAAGGTTTAAATCAACTTTTTAAACTACGAATTTCTTAACAGGGTAATAATTACTACATGTATTATATTTAATTTTTAAAAAATTTTTAAGATCTCTTTTTGATCCAACTTTTTAGCACTAAATCATTAAAGGTTTACAGCTGAAAGGGATTGAATTTTCATTATAATAAATATTTTTAAATATTTTTTGTATATCAACCAAAAATGTAGCCAATCTTAACATATCGCCTATAAAGGCAGAGAGCACTGCATATATGCAGTTATAACTGCATTTATATGAGACAAATTGAAATATCGCAAATAGGTTCTTAACCATTTAAAAAGTCGCGAGGTTTGCAATGCCTTTCTATTTCATATAAGTCATATTTTTTTTTTTGGAAACACGGGATTTCCCCTGAGTGTAGCCAGCATCTGTAGCTGTCTGTTCCACTCCCACATACGCTGTCTCGGCACTTGCCGCACTGCCCCGCCTCCCCGCCACCCGACGACTAAATGACACAAAAATATGGGCTTAACCGGAAACGGATGTATTATCTGCGCTAACTGCGCTGCCACACACAACAGTCAGTCAGAGTCAGTCCGGGCTGGGCCCAAAACTCGAGCTTCGACTCGGTCTCGGGCTCGGGTCGTGGAACTAATAGAATATTATAAATCGTGCCCCGAGCACGTAGAATGAGGCAACCTGTCTTCTCCACTGACCCACGGATGACGGCCTGTCCCCCGCCACCAAATCTCCGGGCGGTTCTCGTTCGTTACGCTTCTGTAAGCTTTTTGGCTTGTGCTTTTTGCGGCTCCCGAACATTTCGTGTTCGCATGCAAAATCCCAAATGGAGTTATGGGGGAGGGGAAATGCCGTTAGTTTGCCCAGGGTGTTTGGCAGGGGGAGGGGGTCGAGGGGTCTAGACCGGGCCTGGTCCACTGCATACGCTCGCATGTCGTTGTCAAGCACTTGCCGACGCTTTCACTTTCCTCCCGACCTCTTGCGGGCCCTTTCATCATTGTCAGTCTATGGCATCAAAAATAAATAAAAACCAAAAAGTTATACTATGGGTACAATGACCTGCACTGAAGAGGCCATTGTAAAACGTGAATAGTGCACATATATATATTTAGCCCAAGGCCGGAATCTGCAAGGGAAAAATCAATAAACAAAGCATGCGAGTTTTTTCTAAACAACTCGTGCTCTTGAAACTAAAAATATTTAGGCATACTTTAAGCATTCCTTTACGTATTTTATTTTTTCTTAATGCACATTTCACATTAAATATTTATTATATATTTTCTTATATTTATTTAATATTTATAATTACAAAGCTAATGAATTAAAAAGGTGGGTAGAAGTCGGCTTATAAATCATTTTTAGCCGATTGTAAACCAATATTAATGCACATTTTATTATGTTACTTTAATAATTTGGTCCTTGGATCAAACATAAATTTGACTTAGAAATAATAATATAATTACTCTTACATTCAATATGTTCTCTTAGTTTTAAATAAAATTGGCTTTGAATTGTAAAAGATATATTTTTAACAATAAATACTTAAAAAATAAAACAGACTTTGGACCAATTCCTGCAATGTTGAAACTCTCTTTTACCAAATCAATAATCCAATCATGACGGCCAGAAAAAGTTAACGATTTGATTGGCAACTCAAGGGTTACTCCTCGAACAGTAACCGTATCTATTGCATTGGGTGCAGCTGCCAGATATCTGACGGGCAGTCCTCCGTCGGCATTTGCATGTCTTTGGCGGGGATCAAGGATAAGCGTAGCCAGCTGATTGAGATTGAGTCATTCCGGAACAATGCAGTCCAACCGTCAACCATCAAGCATCAACCGTCTGTGAAAGTGATCGTGATCGTGATCGAGGCCGCAGATGCGGCAGTAAACACATCTCGGGGACTCCTTTCTACTCCTTTCTACTCCCCGCTTGTATCCTTTGCATGTCACTCAAGCGATCAGCAAAATAACAACAAACAATGTAGGCAGGGGGAGAAGGGGGAAAAGGGTAAGCGGGCAGCATCCTTTGTGGCTGTTTTGTTAGCTTTGATCGCAGCTACTTAGCATTTTGTAGTCCCCGTGGATTTTCGCATGCCTCGCTGAGTTTTCCGCCCTGATCGGAAAGCATAATACGGCTAAGTTTCGAAAAATGTAAAATATTTGTGCTTGACATCGCAGTTGGTAAGATATCATAATTATCACCCTCGGTAATCTTATTCTTGTCGCGCTGCCACTACGTTGCATATAAACTGCTGTTATAAAGAATTATTCTGTTTATTTTTATGTATTTCTTAATTTTGTTTTTTTAAACATTAAACATTAAGAATAATTAGGCTTCAGACTAGCTAAAAACCTTTATCTTTAACACGCTCTAAAAGCTTATGGCTAGAAAAGGCAGAATAAGTAAATACCTGAAACAAAAGAAGAAATTAAGTATGAAATAAACTTTTTTAGGTAATATTGGACCTCTCATTTCAGTTCTAAATAAATACCAAAATATATATAAGCTCCTAAGAACTTTGTATTTTAAAAAAGTAAAAAAATAAAAATTAAAATTTATTTAAAATTTATGAAATTTAAAAATGTTAAATGTTACAGCACTAACAAAAAAATATGTGAAAAAGTTTCAAACTCCGTTTTGAGGATGGGTTTACCGCCACTCAAGGTGAAAATAGTTTTGAGCTAAATCAAGTTAGGCGCTGTACATATTGTCAAAATTTTGCAGTAGTTGCCCCTTCTTTTGCTTTTGAAGAGAATGTTCTGTGATAGTTCAATTTATTACCGGATGCTTTGGCCGCCTGCCCCTCAGCTGCTAAACTTTCCACCCAATCAACAGCAGGAGCAGATCCCACGTCCTGTGGTGCAGTTTGAGGGTCCTCCGGGTCACCAGCTCGATATAGCACCTCGCCGTTGGAGGTCACCGCGAGCCGTTCCGGATGGCGAGGTCTCCAGAGAACAGCCGACCAGAAATGGCCCCACTCCGGAACTGCTTTTCGTGCGGCGCTGTTACATGCTGGCCGGCCTGTTTTCGATGTCCATGGCAATCCTGGCCATGATCCTGACCAAGGCCTTTCCCCAAAATGCTGATCCCATGATACCCGGCTTTGTTTGCGCAATGGTGTCCCTCTTAGTTCTTTTCGTTCTCTGCATCGGAGGCAAGCTGCGACAGTTCTACTGGTTCAGCCTCGTCCTGAGCGCATTGTTCGTGCAGCTGGCTGGCGTGGGCGTGATCCTGGTTCTGCTGGATCGGTGTCTAGAGCACGTATGCAGCGCCCTTCTGGCCGCCATGGCCGCAATGGTTGGCTGCTATTTTGCTGGAGCCTGGCTGCCCAGGATCGTCCTTCCAGGCGAGGCCACCATGATCCTGCTCCTCATCGTCTTCGTGGTGTGCTCCATTTTCGTAATGACCATGTATATTTTCACGGATAATTGGATCTACCAAACGCTTTACTTCCTTCTAATGGCCATCATGCTGGTGCCCACATCCTTGTATCATGCCCAGGTGGTTCACGGCAGGCGATTCCAGTTACCCGAGCACGAGTTCGTAGTCTGCGCCGTCCACGTCTATTTGCACTTTCTGTTGTTCTTCGCGGCCCTTTACTGCATAATCTGGACACACAACTGGTGGGGAATTTAGAGCCTCCTAAGCTTTAAATGGATTGTGATGGTGGGAAAGGCTCGATCCCTTCGGCTGGCTAATAAAACTTACTTTTTTAATGTTTTCTAACTAAGCTAGTAGCTTAACGTGGCTTGTTTGTGTCGTTACTTGAAGAGAAAAGGATCTGTAAAATGTATCAGTAAAGAAGAAAAATATCTGTTAAAATATCAATCAAATTAATATTATCTTTTAGAAAAGTTTCATTAGCAATGACCAGATTTAATTCGTATTTTATGAAATCATATAGACAGTGACAATATATGAATCAACAGCTTCCAAAAATATCTGTTAGAATATCAGTAAAATGTAAAACGGTGGAATCTTGTATCTTGTATACAAGTTTAGTACCAATAATATTCAATTCGCACTTTGTGAAACCGTGTATGTATTTTATTATCTACCGCTTTTAACAAATAAGAATCACATTTTGTTCTTAGAACGCGGTGAAAAGAATTAATTTGTAATCTAGTAAATAAAAAATATTGTTACTATAATATGGGTTATCCTTATCATCAATTTAAAATGTATATATAGATATATTTATGATATAGTCCATTATTGTAAGAGAAGAGATATTAACTAATGGGAATGGTGAGCAGCTCTGCCGGGAGGCAATTGTCAGGGCGCCAGCCAGACCAAGTCTCGACACCCGAAACACAAGGATCTCGACGTGATGGACAACATCTACCACCAGGACAACGCCCGGGCGACGGTCAACTCCGTGATCGATGACCCGATGACGCAGTTCATCCACAGCATCTACCACATGAGTCTGATCATGATCGGCCTGACGGTGGTCTCCTGGGTGCTGCTCCTGCTGACCAATACCCGCCCGCACCAGCACCTGCCCTTTCCCGGCTACGTCCCGGTCATCGTGATCTTCCTGGCTATGGTGACGATGCACTGCATCCCCGGGATCGCCTACTGCTCGCCCTGCAAGTGGATGATGGCCGGTCTGGTGATGGTCTGCACCATTGTCGCCGGCTGCTTCATCACCTTCGAGCTGGGCTTGCTGACCACAGTTCTGGTGATGCTCTGCGTCGCCGTAATCCTCCTGGTGCTCAACTTCTCGGGGGCCAAGTGCCCGCAGGAGATCCTGCCCGGCGGCTTGTGGTCCACGATGCTGATGCTGGTCCTCCTGCTGGTCCTGGTCGTCGTGGGCATCGCCCAGCTCTGCACCGGGAACGAGGAACTGCTGGAGACCTTCGTCGCCGTCCTGTTCATCATGCTGGTTATCGCGATCCCCATCCAGGCGCAGTTCAACCACGGCCGCCTGGATGTGGTGGAGGTGGTGCCGCGGGAGCACCTCATGATCTGCACCCTGACCGTCTACCTGCACACCGTGATGTTCTTCTGCTGCATCAGTTACTTCATCGAGGTGTCTGAGAAGAAGGCCGCCACCGCGAGCACAGACGTTCATGGGCATGAAGTTGAATCTGTAACCGAAAGGAACTATAATTGAGAGACTCTGGTTTGTTTTCGGCTGATTCCTGGCCAATCTCATGGACTTTTGGTCCTGAATCGAAACTGACGAAGTGATCCTGTCATCCCGTCTAATCATCCCATACTCTGTAGGTTTGCTGAGGTCAACTGCACCAGTAAGGCAAATAGAGCAGGAGCATATACGACATTTAATAAAAAGAATTAAATATTGTTAGCTGGCCTGTTTTTAAATTAACCTTTTGATATATATATTCCAACAATAAATGTAAAGTTATTTATAATGTTGATAATCAAACATTATTGGATGGAGAATAAAAATTTAAAGGGTTAAGAGTACATTCATGATCAATTTAATGAAATTATTAATTATTGGGATATGTGAAAGCTTGCGGCATTTTGTTCCACTTTATATAAAGTGTATTTTCAACAAATCCATAAGTCCCGTGCCATCGACAAGGTATTTTTTTCCTAACTACACATGTAGGCAGCCAAGCTTCCATTGCCGAAATCCCAGTAAATTGATTCGGAACCCTCATCGACACATGAATAATCAGAATGCGCGGTGGGCGCCTTACGGCCTGCAGGGCGGAAGAGTCGAAGGCCAACCGGCGGAGGAGCCGGAGATTATAGTCATCAGCGGACGCGACCTGCGGGCCTTCATCTTCCGGGTGTACGTGTCCTCGCTCTTGCTGTGCGTCGTATCCTCGATTCCATGGATCATCCTCTCGGCTCTCGTCGTGGACGTGTACGAGGACATCCCGGTTCCGCCGTTCGTGTGGTTGCTATTGGCCTTCATCATCCTGACCATACTCAGCTGCGTCCGACAGACCCCCGCCACAACCCTCTTCTGCTGGGGAATGGTCGTGGCATCGTTGTTCTTCATCACCCTGTACGGAGCGTACTACATGCATCTGGTGAACGTGTGGGTCCTGCTGGTGTCCATGATAGCCTCAGGTGCCCTGCTCTTCCTGCTCCATCTGTACGGGGCCAGGAGTCCGGAGGTTCTGCTGCCCAACCTCCTCTGCACTTGCTGCGTCTTCCTGCTGGCCACCATCACGATGATCGTGCTCATTATCCTCTTCCTGGTCATCCGCGATCTGCGCTACATGTTGGCCTTCGCCATTGTCTTCGTTATCCTGATCGTGTTCATGGCTCCCTTCCAGGCCCGGTACATCTGCGGAAGACTCCGTCAAGTTCCTTATGGGGAGACCGCGAGCTGCGCCAACGGCATCTACCTGCACTTCGTCTTCCTGATCGGCAGCATGCTGGTCTTTGCCCTATACTTCGATTACGTTAATAATGAGTAATTCAAGGGAAATTTGGGCATAACATGTAGGGTAATTTATTAAAGAGTATCGCCAAAACAGTAATTATCAGAGAACAATAAAGTGTTTGCCCTAACAATTAAAAATACAAATATAACAAAATAACAGCAACGCTGTAGATCCTTTAAAGCGATAAAAAATCGTAAGGAGAATGCGTTTTATTCAAAACTCTAAACTTTTTATTATGGCGAAAAGAATGGTCTAAAATCACATTTGATCTCGCCTGGGAAAAACTCACTCTTGAAAAACCAAAATCCGATATGACTAGTCCGATATGATATATTTTTATGAGTGGGAGAATGGTTAACGGGTTCATCTTATATTGAGCATAGAAACATATTCAACAACATATTTGAACAATTTCATATTTTATTATATATATAATGAATTTCCTTACCTTAGCAGGCCATACCCAGGATAGATAAAAATCAAAATAGAAAATAAATTGCTTATTCAATTACAAACTAAATATAGTATTAAAAATCAAGTTTCGACGATATTTGGCTAAAATTGGATAAAAACCTGTAATTCAATCACTAATTAGGTCCATAGTTTAGATTCAAAATCACCATATAACAGAAAAATCCACCATAAAATGTAAGCAAAATGTTGAAACACATCAGTCTTCGTAATTTAAGTCGAAAAATTCTGGAACGATGCAAATGGTACGGCTTTCGCGTTGTTCGCGATTGCGCAGGCGCAGAGATGAGGAAGGGGATCCAGATCCTTTAAACACCATCGATCCGTATGAGTTGCGGGAATTCATACTTACTGTCTACATCAACGCCTCGATCTTGGGTTTCATTTCGGCCTTGCCGTTGCTGATCATTTCGTCGTTGATGTTAAGCGTGGTCACCATTCTTCCGGTGCCGCCCTATTTCTGGATGGTCCTCGCCTTCGGCGTCCTGTCAATCCTCACCTGCCTGCCCGTCAGGCGAGTCCGCAGGCCGATCCTCTGGGTAATGGCCATCGGTGACGTGGAGCTCATCGCGCTGGCCGGAGCATACTTTGTGAGCGTGTTGGAAATATCCCAAATGATGGTTTTCTCCCTGATGGCCGGACTGGTGCTGATTCCATTGCTGATTTGCGGAGCAAAGTGTCGGAAATCGTGTCTTCCGAATGTCCTTGTCACCGTAGTGATTGTGTGCCTCTGCCTGGCAGCACTCTTTCCGCTGTGGATCCTCACGCTGGTCACCGACCAAGTTTACTACCTTGTGGGCTTCACTGTAGCTCTGTTCATCCTGGCAGTCGTCCTTGTCCCACTGCAAGTCCAGTTCATCCACGGACGGATGCACTATGTGCCCCTTGACTATGATCTCATCTGCTCCCTGTGCATAGTGATTGATGGATGGATTTTATTCTTTTGCATAACCGTCTTTTGCTGCACATTTGCACAGAAGATTTCCGGTTCCCCAAATTACTTAGAAGGCTTGAGTACTGTTCCAAAATAAACATGATGAACAATGCATAAGTGACCATTTAATTCTTGCACTTTTCTGCTAGGTATAAAACAAAACATATTGATTGAATAGTTATAGCAAAACTATTGAAAAGTCTTGCTCTACGTTCTATAAATTTACATATATACAAATTGTTTATCAGATTTGTTATATTTTATATTTAACATTCTGTCAATATCAAAAGAATTATTGAAAATTTAAAAGATTTATTTTGAAAATATTGGTCTGGGGCAGTTGAGTAAACATTTATCAAAATTTTATCTTCAACATGAAAACTTCAAATAAGGAACACTTTTTTCTTTAAATTACAATTCTTTTTAAAAACCTTTTAAAAACCAGAAATTGAAGAAAATTGTGAGTTAATGCCACGAATACGTAGAGGCAATTTTCGGATCAACGAACCGGAGGTCTACGGCCTCCCACCGGATCCCGATATCAGCCATGCAGCGCGGATCTACGGACTAAGTGCGATCCTGGCCGTCATCGCCCTGACCCAGTGGATCATTATTGCGTTGTCCGCAATGCCGATCCAGGACAGATCCGAGGTGCGCTACGGATGGTGGCTCCTGTGCACCTTTTTCGCGATCTCCACTTTGGCCTGGACCAAAATCGGACGCAAGGTGCCGTTCAACTACATCATTATCGCAGCCATCGTGGAGAGCTCGACCATTTACATAGCCATGGAACAGATGCACAGTGCTAATATTTTTGTTAATGTCTACGCCGCCGTCGTGGTGGTTTCCCTGATGCTGGCCAGCATATTTTGGGGCGCCTACTTTCCCATGTTCATTGTGCCCGGCGACCTGGTCCTCAGCATTTTGACGGCCATATCCAATATAATGATGCTTATATTCTTCATCAACGCCTTCTTCTTCGACTACTATGGAATATACTATGCGGTTCGAAACACTTTCGCCTTGGTGGCCATTTGCACGGTGATGTATACCGCAACTGTAATTCACGATCGCCAGTTCGATGTCCCGAAGAACGAGTATCTGTTCCTCAGTGTCCTGCAGTTCTTCTCCTACATGATCCTGCATGAACGTATCCTGGCCATCGCCTATCAAAGTACTCGCACTCTGGAATGTTGATTCCCTTTGGCAATCTATATTTGAGGATTCAAAACTATTGATAATAAAGGAAATAGACACCCACAAAGTAGTTGCCTAGAATGATCTGACCGAAAGATCACTTCTCGTAATTTTTAGATTCACTTCGTATATGCATTGTTTATGTGGTTATTGTATTGTTCTGGCAACATTTTCGGCTCATTGTTTTGGGACGTCGAGCAGAGTTCCGTGCCATGCGCCAGATCCAGACAATGGATGAATTGTCTTGAAGTGAAATTAATAAATAAACCGCTAAATTGGCAAAGCATTTTTTGTTGGGGCGTGTGTGGTGAAGGCTTTCATTCACGGCACATGTGATTCAGCAATCTTTACAAAAGTAGGTAAACAACAAACAGAGGATCTTAAAACCGGATTCATAATCGCAATAAATTTCGTAATAATTCAGTTTCAATGGATTTATATTTTTCTTGAAACAAACTGTGTAAATAGAGGCCCAACCGAAACAGCTTCCTGTATATTGAAATTTAATCATTCAGGCGTGGTGAAGAGCTCACTCCCCGGGAATTCCGTTTGTCCAAGATCATAACCATCCCCGGCTGTTTTAATAAGACACTCGCGCATCGATTTGAACTGGATTAAGACGAGAAGGAAAAAAGTAACTCCTATATGAAATTTACATAAAGTATCTTCTACTCCACTTCGGCTGTTTGATAAGCTGCCGTAACCGAAGAAGTGCCACTGGAAACAGGATTAATAGAGCAGGGTACTGGACTGTCCAAGACCAAACAAAGCGGCAGCTGGGCGAGACAAAAGATCGCGAGTCGCTCAACAATGCAATATCCACTTAAGGTCCAACCGAGGCGAGAGGAAACTCGTTATGAGTCACACAAATCTCAGACTACGCGGCGAGGGTCTCCGATCTCCATTTATCCGTATCTTCCAACAGGAGCAGGAGCAGGAGCAACCCTTTATTCGAAGGCGTCGCGGTCAGTCGCGAAAACAATCAGCGGCCATAAATGTTGATTATCAGGATGATATCAGTGTGCATAGCGATAAGTGATGATGATGATGGTCATGATCAACGGCTGCCACCACCATTGACACTGGGAGAAAAAATATAATTTTGTAATGGCTAAATAAAGTTTAAAAAGGATTCCGAAGAAAATGGTAGTTGGAAACCACACACATCTAGGTAAAACATTTATCTTCTTAAAAGTTTTTTTAAATTACAAAATTTAATGAAATGCTTAACTTATATTTAATCAATGAAAAAATAAAACATAATTGTGTATTAATAAATATTTATAAAAATAGCTGGCAATAACTTAAAATACGTCTCACATATAATATAGAATTTTCAAATAATACATACTAGAAAACAATTTTAATTCGCCTGTAGTTATAAGCTAGAAATTCTCAAGTACCAATTTAAGCTGAATGTTTTGCAAAGGAATAATTTTATTGCAGTGCGGCTAAGCCTTTTTCCTATGTGTAAAAGCATTATCACTCGCAGCAGCTTTCGATTAGAGCATCTGGACCCGATCTGCTCGGAACTGACCTGAGCTAGTTACCTTTCGGAAAAATCTTACACGAAAATCGTGGGAAAATTCCCAAAAGCGCATATCGAATGCAATTAAACGTTCGCGACGTCTCGCGGTGGTTACTTTACTTAACTTCACTTTGCCACCCGAAACCCAATACCGATGGCCAAGGGTTGTTAATGCGCGCGGAAAACTTGTGCGTTTTTCCAAAAAACCCTCATTTTCACCCCCAAAACGTAAGAGTGGAAAACGTGGAAAAAGGAATAATTCCGCTTGTTGCGTGGTCAACTCGTGATTTACCTTTCCGGTGACAAAAACGCGGAAGCATTGTAAATCGAGTCGGCAGAAGGGGGCTCGACTTTTCCGCCCAACTTCTGCTAACGACTTTGGTAGGCGGTTGTGTGTGCCTTAACGTGGGAAACCCGGACTTCAATGTCAACTGGTAGCTGGCTATCGAAGGCTTTCGCATAATTAAATGCAACGAAATGTGGCAGCAGCAGTTTGATTTCTCCCCAGATAACTGAGTCCAGCCAGGGTGGTGGAATTCGACATAATCATTTACATTGCGTCGTGGTCCTAATGGCCAACGTAAACTAGTCCGAGGGGTTTTGGGCACTTTAAACTAATTTCCGGAGAACGAAAATATCTGAAACTCGATTCTAAATAATTTATACAATTTGGTCTAATATCACCGTGGGAGTGTAATTGTTTTCCTTGGTAAAAAATCTTCAAAGTATATTTAGCAAAACCAACCTTTTTCATAAAAATCTTCCACTGTTTTAATAGTTTTATATACTATTGTTTAAAGCCATTTTTCATATGAAAAACTGATATGTCAACAATACTAAGACCTTTAAAACTTTTTTTAAATATTTGTTAAAAACCCACCATTTAATTTGTCCATTTGGATAGAATTTTTTTTAAGTTACACCAAGTTAAAGATTTCTGAAATTAGTTTTAAATTAATCAACGAATTTTTACTTCATCTAAGATAGAGCTGTCAAATTCTTAGTTGTTGGAAACCAAATTGGATTTCTTAACCAATAATTGTTTAACTTTTCTCTCTTTAAGGATGTGATGTGATGAGTGGATTCGATAATAGACAGCCGATTGAACAGGACCATCCTATAACCATCAGTGATCCCAAAGTGCTAAGCAAATTTGTGCGCCAAGTGTATTTATTTTCGACCTTGTTCTGTCTGATATCGGTGGTTCCGTGGATAATAATTTCATGGAGTGGAATTATCCTGGGTGAGCACATTCCTGTGCCTGCCTTTGTCTGGCTCATCCTGGCCCTCATTTGCCTGATAATACTGAGTTGCTGTCCCCATAAGCGTTTCAAATATCCCTGCAATCGTATTTTGTCCGTGATCACAGTGTTCCTGATTACCCTCTTTGGATCCTACTACATGTTCATGGTCAACACTTGGGTTCTTCTGGGTTCTTTGCTGGCCAGCGGATCATTTGTGGTGCTGTTGAGTGTTTGTGGTGCAAAATGTCCTCTAAGGATGCTGCCCAACGAATGCAGCGCAAGTATTGTTATTGGCACATGTGTGATACTGCTCTTCACATTGGGCATACTTATGTTTTTCCTGAGAAGCCCCATTTTTTACTTGGCAATCGGCATTGTACTGATAGTGTTGGTGATCACAATGGGCCTTTACCAGGCGCGATACGTTCACGGACGTCAGAAGTTTATACCTCTGGAGGATGCACCATTATGCGCTATGGGAATCTACACTTACTTTGTGATTAATCTGGTTTGCTTCAGTGGTTTCTATTATTTTTATTTAGAGGCAATACAAAATGAAACATAAATCGGGAAAACTCAATTTGGTTTTGTTTTGTGGGCTGCAGAATTGGCTTTCAAAAATGTATAACTAATTTGCATGGTTCAACGTCCTTAAGTTTGCAACTGGCTTTATTGAAAGCCATTTATCAAGTCAGAGGAAAGTCAAATTTCGAGAAGCTTAAAATTTGATTTCAGTTCTGGTTTCCGTTTTCCCTATTCGCTCCAATGCATTCATCTCAACAGCTTTGGCTCTCGAAAAGAAATGCCGAGGGGAAATACCAGAACCAGAACCAATGGCCATTACCTCGGCGTCATCAGCATATCTTCGTTCCGTTGCGTTCCGTGGCTTAATGCGAAATAATTACAACTTGTTCGCACATCATTCAGCACAAGTTGAAAAAAATTATCTGTCAGCTCGACGTCCCCTTCATTTGTTTGCCCAATGACGAATGTGACCCTCCAATGACGAACGACGGCGATGGTTGGTGGTGATGGTTATGGCGATGGCGATGATGATGATGATGAAAACTTCAAAACGACACTTGCCTTGTTTGCTTTTTGCGTATTTTTTTTGCAAAAAAAAAAAAACTCTTGTGGGCGCGTCGGTAAAATTTCAAAGTCGGCATCATTAACACCAATGCGCCATTTTGGTATTTCGATGTCGATGAGTTGTTGAGTGTTGATGGTGATTGATGTAACTTTTGAGCCAGCCAGCCGGCCAGCCAGCACTTGGAACCCGATCTCGAGTGAGTGTACCAAATTGGTAGCTTGCTGGCAGCCCATTCCGACCCAAATCGCCGCCCTTCTCCCGAAAACCCTACGGCTGTATATTTGTTGTTTTAGTCCATAGTCTCGGGCCCGCGCTCCCCCGGCCTATGCTAATTTGTTATTTTAAGCATGTTTGTTTGCCCACAGCCCTCCAGTCCTCCGGTCGACCAATCCGCCAGCCCTGCAGTTCCTGTCGAAAATATTGACAAATGCGACGGCAGAAGGGAGCGGAAGTGGCTGTGTCTGCACCTGAGGCGAAATATACTCTGCAACAAACAACAAACAAGTAAACCAATTAAAGCAAAAGATACAATTTGAATTCGTAATGGCCTTTGCGAATGCTCCGTGTTTCAAAATATATTTAAAAATAATTTAATCTATTGTTTCACAATAAAAAAACGGTATAAGGGAGAGCAATTCTTTAAGTGGGGTGATAGAAAATCTCCAAGGTAAATTAATTACAAAATAATTTGGCAGTATGCAAGTTAGGGGGAGGCAGAAGTCGTGTGTCCATGAAATTTATCAAGCAAAAAAAATTAGATGGTGATTTTTTATGCAAAAGTTGAAGTCCTGATTTTTGAAAACAAAACCATAAACAAATTCTGGCTAAGAGGTTGACAGTGACATTCGTACTGCAACGCTCAGTTCTTATAAAATTAATTCTTAGTAAAGCACACTAAGCAAAATGATAAGAAAATAATTCAGAAGTAAGAAAATGAGGTGGACAGCCTTGGATTCACTAAGTTCTTCATAGCCCTTGTTTTTCTTTAATAAATGCAAAAGAAATCATTAACACTGCTAAAAATTATGTTGTACTGGAAGGGTAACGTTTCAATTTTACAAGGTAACCCCAAAAAACAAATTTAGGTTGATAGACTTAAAGGGACAGTCAAATTGCTTAATTCTTATAATATTAACTCTGAACAAAAAGCAAATTAATTAGAAAATAATTCAGACAATTCAGAAAAAAGATCTAGGGGAAGTCTTTTGCTCGAAAAAGGGTAAGAAGTAATATCCTGAAGGGAAGCATTGCAAGCTTACTACTGTTACTACTTGAAGGTCCTTTTGAACCGTGTAAACTTTAACCAGATCCTCAATAGCCTCATTAACCCACTTCTGAAGTCTGGGACTTTGACATGGCTAATCTGGTTATAAGCAGACCCGGGTGGTCCTATTCCGGTATAAAAATCACCCAAAACTCAGCCCAAGGAAGGATAACAAGTTCTAACCCCAAATAAACTATAACTCAACGCACTAATTCGAGGGAGACAAAGGTGGTTGGGTGTCTAACCAAATGGCAATTGCACATTGACTTCATCACTCCGCTGGCCCTAATAGTCGGGCCCAAAACCAGATCTCGGAATATTCAATTACCGCAAATTTGTCGGCAAAGGCAGAGCATAAATGCAATAATTAAGAATCAAGTTGCCAGCGGAGTGGACTAGACCAGATCAGACAGTCGTAAGCCGACCCTCGGAGTTAAGTATATATTCCTTGCTTTTTGGGGTGGAGTGATACATTCGCACAACTTCCGTTGAAAGTCATGTAACTTATTTCTTGTTACGCTTGAGAAATTTTCACAGTTGACATTGAGACCGGGCCGTCGAGTAACTGAAAACTCAAAAACTAACCCAAATAGGTTTCGGAAGCTGCGGTCGACCGAACCTCAGATACTCAAAGAGGGGAGGAACACGGCAATGCCGCTCCTTGGGTTTTGTTTTAGTGGTGGACGCATTTAAATGTGTTTCCAATTTGTTCGTTCCGTGGGTCCGTCCTCCGTCCCATATCCTTATCACTGCCTGGAGTGGCACTCGTGAGAGAATTCCCAGCACCGCAGACCTCGAACGAACCGCTCGACTGGCTGCCTTGCAAAACCCCCTCCCTCCATCGACTTCCTCCTGGCGGAGAATACGAATGTGACACCACCTCAGCGGGCATTCGGTGCTGTGGACTTTAATTATGGGTGACAATGGCTGCGGAATTGATTTTCGATATTTGATCATTCGCTGCGGTTAGTTAACGCTCTTTAGCGATGAAAGCGCGACAACCGCAGGCTCAATGGGGTGGTGGCAGGGGACTCAGATGTCGCAGATGGAATTACGGCAAATGAGGCGAGTGCAGCACTTGAGGTGCACTCGGATTGGAATTGTAAGGCACCTTTTTTTTCCGCAGCAGTGGAGGATGGTTTGGGATCGCTGATTTACGATGGTTAGCTAGGAACATTGGAAATGGGTTGATTTAAGGATATAACTTTAAACAAAGTTTGTAATTTAGAATAAAAGAAATAACTTAAAACTGCATAAAACCATTATATTTTGGTTTTTAAAATACCTTTTATTGTTTTTCCCGAAAATCAACTATTTAAATGTAAGACGACTTCATGAAATTGAATTTAATTATTTAAAAAAAATTTTGCTGTGTCATTTTAATTATCGAAGAAAAAGTATTTTGTGAAAATGATTATTTTGCTGATGTAATTAGATTTTTGACCTACGAATAATGGCACCATCGGAATGTTCTTTATTTTAAATATCCAACACACATTAATGTGGTCCTCAAGTACATTGTTTTCTGCAAAAAGTATTCTCTTAAAGACATACAATTAGACTTATAGTTCTATGTGATATCCTAGCGTGTAATCTGCATTTAGCGCCAACTGATCCCCTGAAACTACAAGCCCCTAAATTCATTCCACTTGGTCAGAGTCCATTTCCAAGCAGCTTAGTGCAATTCGTGGAAAATTTTGTAGACGCCGTTCTGTCTAAGAACTTCCACTTGGCCAAGTGCCCGAATCAGGTAACTGAACAATTTTCCTGGCCCCCCGCAGAAGCGACCCTCTACCTGTTTACTGAGGCCGTGAAACGCCTAAAACTAATTGAGACCGCCCTCATTGAATAATTTCAGGAGATTTTTCTTTCTTTTTTTCGTAGCCGAGATTCTCCGTAGACAGAAAGGGGCCAAATGCGAACTGAGTGGAAACTGAGAGCTGTGGGTAATGATGATGTATGGGTAATTTGAATGATTAATGGGCTGCGCTTTATGCCAGTGTTCCGGTCACAGTTGAAGGTTTGCCCGGGCCTGTCCGGCACTCGGTAAAAGGATATCGTGGGGATAGATGTGAAATTTAATTAAAATATTTTTATGGTAGCCCGAAAGAATGGAAAAAAGGTGTGTAAAGGCATGCAAAAAGATGCACAGGGGGTCACCGATTTGATTCGATGCAGGGGCAATGGGTGTGAGGAATGAAGTTTCACTTTAATTAAGGAGCAACTGAACCTCAGTAACAAATTCGACAAAGTAATTGTTAAGTTGCAGAAAATGGCTGTTACTTAAGAAAATAGTTGGTTGAAATAAAGATATGTTTTTGTAAAATAATGGTTACACACGTACACAGCCAGAAATTGTGATACATGTTTTAAGTTCATAAAATATTTTAAAGCTGTAGATCTTTTTTTAAAAATTGGAGTAGTAGACAATAATAAAATAACAGATATAAGAATTTCAATTAAATATCCTCATAAACATCCTTTAAGACGAAATTAATGCATACAGATTTCAGTAGGATTTTTTTCCATTAAAAATATAATTTTTAAGAGCTTTTAAGGATCAGAGAAACTCTGCAAAGTTAAAAATTTTGAGTTCGAAGGCATTTTTTAAAAACATGGACCATTTCTTAAGCAGGGAACTTATTTATTTGCAAATTGCGCTAATGTAGGAAACTAGGAAATTAGGAATTTTGTTTTTCTGTTACAGTATAAATTGGATAATTTACTAAAATCATACATTTTATAGTTTTAAAGTTCTGTGATAATTTTTGAATTGGGTGGTTCAGGTCAACGTTTTGTGTATCGACAAATTTAAATCTCTGCCGCTGAAATTATGTTTCCCAAGTGTGCTGTGTGTTCGCGCTGTCCTGGCCGCATAATCATTATGAACTATCTGACCGCAGACCAGACCCAATAAGGCGGCATATCCTTTCGGGCCTGTGGCCATAATCAGCACACAATCAGGCCCACGGACGACTGAGCGGATGGTAAAAATTAACTTTTTTAATGAATTACGTACCCTTTTCTGCTGGGTGTGGTGTGGCGGGTAGGAAATGGGAGCAGACTGGCTCTGTCCAGTAGACAGTTGCAACGCAACGTAACGTGACGCCAAACGCATTATGTCATATCGCAGATTGAACCAGCGAACCGAACCAAACCGAGCTGAACTGAACTGAACTGAGCTGGCGAAATGTTATGGGCCAAGAACAAA